ACTTATGAAGGTCGGCCGTCACTTTAACATTTTGGAGCAAATTCCGTCACGCGAAATATTACGATGGTTATTATAAACCGTTTGTGTTTAGGTATAAACAGTCATTTTGCCAAATTACAAATAAGGACAGAAAATAAGTCCTTTAATTTAATTTGGCCACTTAATAATAATAATAATAATAATTTATTTTTAAGACCATAAATCCATTTCTTAAAATTATTTAATTCTAATGTGCGTTAGTTGGATTAGTAACAATTTTTAACTTAAAATGTATATTAGAATGTGTTAGTCACTAAAATTAAGTAGACAGAATGAAATTAATATACCTGCTCAACAGAAATGTTTGTGTCTTACGCGAAGAGAAACATTAATATTACTAATAATTATTTAGATTTAAAACAATATTACTTCTTTTTAGTTAAGTGTAGTTGGTGGGTAGTATCCGCCCAATTTTTGGTCAACAGGAGCTCAAAGTTTGAAAAGTGAAGTCTTGGCTCCGAGAAAATTAACGATATTTCTATATAACGTAGATAACATGAGCCACACCTGATTTAGATGTTTATAACCAAAAACGACGTTTCGGATGTTTTACACCAGCCATGGTCACGGGGGTCTGAAGATGGAAGGTGTCCCTAATGTCAAAATAAAATCTGCAACGCTAGACATCTTCTTTAGTCCCTCCATGACTACGGTTGCCGTAGGTAAAGCATCCGTAACGACCGTAGTAAATGTGTCTGTATGTATATACAGACACATTTACACATACATTTTTTCTTTTTATGTTCAACATACAAGCGTGGTATTCACTCGATAAATAAGATGCATCGTGGACCGAATAAATATTTTTATTTTAATAGACAAGAAGGTGTTGTGCCAGTACATTTACAGTTGAAATAGTGCAAGGATCACTACGATTACCAAATTACAGCGATTGAAGGCGTGAAACCGCGTAGTTGCGGCGATCATTAGTTCGTTTCACGCTTCCAAATGTCGACCGCTCCTCGAAATTTCCAAAATTATTTATTTAAATGGTCATTATCGCCCTGTAACGTAGTCCGGGTCGCGCATGTGTCGGGGGGTTACTTTTTGTCCCGAAACTCATTGTCACGGTCTATTGTCGGCGCTTTTTGTTTCTAATACTTATTTAGGTTTACGGAGATATGCCCGTGATGTTTCTGTTGCTGACGTTTTATACGCGGACAACTAAGTCCGTGGTTTTTGGATTTTGTAGGTTTGTGCGTCACCTACCTATAAAAGAATTGAACAATTCGGTGATTAATGATAGGACATAATAACTTAAAAAATACAGCAACGACAAGATTCCATTTTGGCCGTGGATTTGAGGCCCGCTCGTGCCACACTTTTTTCAACCAATGTCGATGTAATAAAAAAAACTGAATTAAACTAAAGACGCTATACCTATTGCGAAAGAAAAAAAATAAAAATGCTTTGAGTGTCATTTATTGTATCAATAATTATCCCAGCACATATAAATAACAAAGCTTTAAGTATAGCATGAGTTAATAAATGAAACACCATATTCTTAAAATTATTTTTATTAAACCTAAGTATCTTAATTCTTCTTGATAAGGCAATAGTTTTTTTTATGAAATTCATAATTAGTTGAAATTCCGGCTAGAAATATTAAGTTTATTTTGTTGCAATAGAACTCCATCTTGTTTTTATTTAAACGTGACAACCGTACTTTAATATTAATAGATAGAAAAATTTTACATAAAAAACGAAAGTTAACTTTTATAAACTTCATTAAAAGATAAAGCAAAATGCAACATTTCAAAGTCCATTGTTCATCGAAGTTCGCGTGTTGGACGACGCTTAATGTAGAAATAATGTCTGGGCGCCATTATCTTTTACTTAATTCGAACCTGTTATTACTTTTCGACATCAAACATACGAATGTGGCAGATCAATACGAATGTAATGTGTTTGGTACCAATGCCTTATAATATGTGGGTCGTGGGTTTGATTCTTACCGGGTTTCAAATTATAACTCTATCTTTTCAATTCCATAATGTTATCGGGACGTTAATTTGGTAGGAATATTGAAATCGGCCAAATCACGAACGAAGCAATCCATGTTGGACGTCTCAGTCTGTGGATTTGAAATCTCAAGCCAAAATAGGAAGAAAGAAAAGAAAGAACAAAACACTGTTGCAAAATTATATTACCCATGACAACGCTTAACAATTTTTTTTTACGTTTCTCCCTGTTTAAGTATTTTTTTTTAATTACGCAGTATTTATTATCTACAGTAATTTTTGAGGTAAAAGGGTGGAGTTTTTGTAAATAAAAATCGATACACAATTCTTAAAAGATAGTAGGTATATCAATGTCGATATTTATCTCAACTTTCATATAAATCTAACACCGATTATAAGGCGAATTACGTCGACTAAAATAGCACATGGTTGAGAATTATCTCAGTAGTTAAAACCCTTCTATAATGTCCTTGAGGGCAATTATGGAGTTACGCTACCATCGAAGACACCAACGAATTATTTTGTAATTTGACAACACCCAATACCACTAATTGGGCGCCAACGACCCGACAAATCGATAACTACCCTCGGGCATTTTAACCGTTACTCGTAACTACATACATTTATACAAAATAAAACACTTTAACGGTTTGTAATATATTGACTAACTTAGTTTTCCTTATTTATTTCGGGTTTTGAACCGCTATATTTGTTTTATTTGTATGTGTTACACTTCGAAATACTGATAGGCTCACGAACCAGCGTCCAAAGATGAAAAAGCCTGATGAAAACGCATTTCGGTTTCAGCCTATGGATTTCCGAATCCAAAGCCAAAATAGGCCGACAGCACATCTTGTATATGCATAGATGTTATATTGCTGAGGGAATTTTACCTACTATCAAGCGAACACTATGCTCGACTGTTCTCCTTTATCATAAAAAAATACATGATGTACTCACCTTTGTTCTTTTAGTGTTAATATTCTGTGTATTAAATATTCGAAATTAACATCCTAAATTCTACCCCAGTCACAAAAGCCATTAGATTGGTTAAAACGACAAAACCAGACAATATGTCATAAATTGTAGATGCAACATGAGTTGATTTGCATTAGAATGTTAGTAAAGGGGATGGAGAGGGGAGTAGGATGGGATGTAGCGACGTAGCGTACAACTTCAGCCGGAATTAATTCGGTAATTCTATAATTGCGCAATTATCCATCGATAATTTGCCCGCGTGATCGATTATAGATACCGTTTGTTTTGAGTAGAACGTAGGCAGACCGATTTAAATAAAATATCAAAGCGATAATTTTATAATTACTAGCAATAGATATTGTATTTACTTATAACTAGTTGACCTGGTAAACGTTCCTTTGCTAAATGAAGTGTTTCGATTAAGTTGTCTTAAATTTTTCCAGTTAAATTACTATAAAAATAAAGAAATGCATGTATTTTGTAGTATATCAGAGTTCATTATATTATACTTATATTAAAATGCTGAAGAGTTTGTTTGCATTGTCTAAATGATGTCTAATAAAAAACACAAAAAAAATGTCCGTGACAGTATTTGCCTCATATTTTTAGATTAAGTCTCGTAGCAGTAAATAAGAGCATACAAAAACATTTTTTTAATACAGAACGTTCAGTCCATAAGTAACGCATTTTATGTTGATATTGGTGTAGTGTTTTCACCTAAAAATACTGTAACAAAAGAAATCAGAAATTCCGTTTCCGTTCAATTTATATACCGTTATACATTGAAACTTATGTTGTTCATTTTAATACTTACCTCATTATCTAAAGTAATCTACGGATTATGGGAGTCTATAAAAAGGGGGTCGATGAAACAAAATCGGTGCGAAATGATTACAAGCCGATCGTAAACAAATTAATAATCTGTTGAGTACATAGACATCGGCGATCGCTCCCATTATTTTCAATACCGTGTTTTCGGAAATATTAGGTAATAAGTATAGTGATGAGTTTTATGAAATACAATTTTCTGTGTAACGACTTCACGAGCAGCATAATAACACGGGCAGGGCTAAGCGTTTCTCTTGAATATTCATTTGGGTTCATCATAATTTTGGTAGATAATTTTAAATTATCCGAGAGGCTCGCTCGGACGGGGACGTGCATGTTCTGTTGGGCTGCCCACGTGTACCATTTATTAACCTCTCACATTATTGCGAGTAATGTTATTATGACATAGTTTATTTTGTTACAAACTAAGTCTTGACAAAGATAATAGATATACTTATCTATAAAAATGAAGGCAATGATTGAATACTGTCTGTAGTTTAGGCGAGTAGTACACAATTATATAAAACACTTTAACGGTTTAAAACGCGATGTATATTAATAAAAATTGTTTGAAAATTATTTAACTACGATTCGACGTTTTGGATGCTTTGCAGCAGCCGTGCGTAGTTAAAATAATTATCAAACGAGTGTAACTAATATATATCGCGTTTTAAACTGTTAAAGTGAGTTAATGATTGTTTTGGCTATTCAATATGTCTTATCATTTGTTTATGTCGCTATATGCAACAACAGTGCACTGTTGATCGCGGGTTCGAGTATGAGTATCGTTACTTTTTAAGTATTGCCTGTAGTTAACCGCAAATAGTGGGTAGGTACACATTGAATAAAAAACAAAACGCACGAGATGTCGGGAAGTAAAAGTTAAAATATCAAAAAGACTTCAAATATATTACACTCCATGCGCGAGCGCATATGGACCTTCCACCACATAAAAAGAGTAAAATAAAAATGGAACAAAAACTTGCGTGTTCCGCGTAGTTTTTATAACAAAAGATCTCCGTCATTTTTGACAAGGAAAAGGCTATCAAGTTCGTAATGGATCGGCGCCGTTGTGCCGGCGCAGGCGCGGAGACCTCATCTACGCTTTGATCCAATCTGGCGTCGGAGCCAGCGTTGACCAATTACCTATATCACTCCATTTGGGCACGGATGAGCCATAATGTCTACATAATTATGAGTACAGCGTCTATGGCTTTAGATATACTAACCAATGTAATAAGTAAAATTTTTAAACTTAAAGTAAGTACTAATTAACATAAATACAATCTGAAATAAGAGCCCAAATTCTATTAATGCAACTCATTTTCTATACCTACCTACTTACTCGGCTACCAAAGTTAATATATACTAAGCTGCTGAGAGATTGTTTGTTTGAACGCGTTTATCCCAGGAACTACTAGTTCGAATTGCAAAATTGTTTGTTTAGGCTATAAAACACCGCGCTGTGACTAATAGGAGCGATGAAACAGCAGAAAGTACGCTAAAAACGGGCAAAGTTATTCATCTTTACGTACGCTGTGATATAGGTTCAAGATACAATTGTCAAAAATATGTCCGCGACATTATATGTCTATCTCTTAAGATGAACTCGCAGGAACGACGGGGCGCGTCCGATGACGAACAACAGTTTGCAAAAACAATTTTGGGTGCCCAAAATAACTATTCTATGCGGACGACGTCGCTGACTCAGCTGTTAATAAATAAACAAATAAATCTTTGTAAATAATATAACCAAACATAGATTTAACTGTATAATTTGACTATAGCAGTTATGCGTTACGTAACGAAGTACTTTTATCCATCTTATAAGTTGACAACGACTTCTTTTTTGTCTGAAACTTTGTAAAGGTACTAGAGAAAACCATACTCCTCAGTCTAGTCCAAATGTGAGTGCACCATGCTAAAGTAAATTCGAAGTAAGCTTCATTAAAAATAATAGCTGTACCCACATCATGGCGCCTATACACATAAAAACAATTAATGTTAATGACCGGGGAATTCATATCGCAGTTCGGCGGTTTTATTATTCTTTTATGGTAATCGTAATTGTCCTTACGTTGATTGGTCCGCTACATGTTGATATAATATATTGATGTGAATAATCATTCGACTTAGCGGGGACAACACAACACTAGTGCGACGCATTAACGCGCGCGCCCCCGCACTAGCTGGGGAACTGTCAAATACGAACGATGGCGCGCATTTTGACAGCTACGCCAAATTTTGGGTAATAAATGAATATTTTAGAATTTAACATTGTGATATTATTTGATTTAAATAACGACCATAGATAAAGTATTGATATTTAAAGTGTTAAGAAAATAGTCATAATGGACACGGGCGGGATTTGGCGACATTCACAGTGTTTCGCGCTGCTGCTCCAGCCCAGTTGCTTCTCAATCGTTTGCATCATGGTGGGATGCCGATTCAAGTCCCGCTCTTGTCGTCAATATTTACAATCTAAATAGAATTTTAATTTACATAGTGCCATAATGTGCAAGTGTGAAAAGTATTGAAGTACTCAATTATTATTATTTTGGTTGCATTAAGTAAGTATTGCCACAAATGTTTGAAACTTAGTTATTGACAGAAATGATAATGACTTTCAAAAACACTAAATAGGTTTAAAACACGGTAAATTGTATATGACACAAGAAAATGAAGAAGAAGAAAGAAGAATGACATAAGAAAAGACTATATGTATATTAATATAATATGTATCAAGATGCCACGATCACTACCAAACCTATAATAAAACGAATAAACGTGAATTCGTAAAAAAAAATACCTGCCTTATTCCTTAACAAAGACAATATTAGTGGGACTTACATATAGGTAACCTCATAACCTAAAACACAGATAAAAAGAAATCTACGTTAAACTTAAAAAATTTAGCTATAAGGTCCATCGCAGTGACAGCTGCACCAATCACAATGTAATGGGCGTGGTCGCGCCCCGCACCCTTCACCCCGTCCCGGGTCCCGATCCCCGGATTATTTTATTGTTCTCAATGAAACATTTTTTATCGTGCCTTTGTCTCATATTAGGGTGAAATATCCGGTCGGATATGCCGCTTCCACTCATCTTTATTCACTGAGAAATATACACCGGTAGCACAAAAGACCAGTTCTCATTTATATACAATGCTTATTCTGGTTATGTTTTAACTTTCAAGTTTTATTCGGTTATAAATAATTATATCACCGTAATTATATTAATTAAAAATTGATCATAAATAAAAACAATTATGACTCGGGCAGAAATTGAACCGGCATCCACATAGTGCCGTGCTGTTGCTCTAACCAATTGTCAGAGACGCCAGTTCAAGTCCTGTCCGTGTAGTACATTTTTTAACTTAAAATCGATTTCGAATTTTTATTTCTCGCGTGAAACTGATCACTGAACCAGACACAGAAATGTGTTTGCGCCACGATCGGGAGGACGGGATTATACTTTTATAAAATAATTTCAACTTTGATATCAAATGTAATGCCTTAAGAAATATACTAAGCATTCGTTTGTGCTGTTCGTTTCAATTGTCAGTTAATGGAATGATAGCTTTATAAACATTACTAATTCCAAATTCAAAAATCGGTTTGACGTTTAGTCGCCATTTATAAACGGACGTCCTGCGGCGGTGGCGAGCGGTAGCGGTCGGGAGCTGTCACCGATGTATTTAATTGTAAATACAGCACCTATAACCTCCTCTTAATTTATCTATATCGTTATTCATAAGAGCCGCAGGCGATATTAAAAGCCGCAACATTGATTCCCATATAAATTAGATCATAAATCAGACCCGACACTGGCCTAAAACTTATTCTCACGGTCGAAACTTGCTCATTTAATTAATACAAAATCGTATCTCGTTTATAATTATTAATTATAAACTTCTCGTTTTCCAGGAGCATCCCAGCTTACGCGGCACGCCGTTGGCGATGCTAGCAGCGCAATGCAACAAGCTTTCGAGTAAATCTCCTCCGCCGCTAGCTGACGCGGCCGTCGGCAAGGGATTCCATCCCTGGAAGAAAAGTCCAGGGACACACTCGCCGCCAGGTGCTGGTGTAGCTCCTCGCTCGCAACCTCCATCTTGTACCCCCTACGGACGAGCACCCACCTCGTGTGCTGCGGCTCCAACTTATGGAAACGATTTATACTTTCCATCATCTGGAGATCAACTCTTAGGAAAAAGTGAATCTAGCGCAAGTCTCGGCTCAATGTACTCGAGGCATCCTTATGAATCGTGGCCCTTTAACGTCGGTGGAGGAGGTGGCGGTGGTGCCCTTAAAGCTGCGGAAATGGGTGGAGTAAGTGCAGTCGGTAGCACCTGGTGGGACGTTCACAGCGGCTGGCTAGATGTCGGAGGTCAAATGGCAAATTACGCTGGACAAGATTATTCACAACTCACACATTCACTGTCTGGCGGGGCGCACCTGCTCCCGCCGGCCCCTCACCTCCTCCAAGACGCTTACAAATCTGTTTTACCCACGCAAGGTTCTTTTGGGCTGCATGCACCAGGATCACCTGCACCGCCAGCTCAGGCACCCTCACCTAGATCGCAACGACGGTACGCTGGGCGAGCAACCTGCGACTGTCCAAATTGTCAAGAAGCCGAACGGCTGGGCCCAGCTGGGGCTCACCTACGCAAAAAGAATATCCACAGTTGTCACATTCCAGGGTGTGGGAAAGTTTACGGAAAAACCTCTCACTTAAAGGCGCATTTAAGGTGGCACACTGGAGAGAGACCGTTCGTGTGCAATTGGCTGTTCTGCGGCAAAAGGTTCACGAGGTCAGATGAACTACAGCGACATCTGCGCACGCACACTGGGGAAAAGCGGTTCGCGTGTCCCGTGTGTAACAAGAGATTCATGAGGTCGGATCATCTTGCGAAGCACGTGAAAACACATAACGGTGGCAAGAAGGGCAGTTCCGATTCTTGTTCAGACTCCGAGGAGAACAGTCAGGGCGAGAGCGGCGTCGGGGGCAGATCGCCTGAGCACCAGTTGGACGTGAAGCCAGGAACGCTGTGACTGGGGCGGGCGGCGCTCCCCGTGCCGCACCTCCCCTCGTCGCTTCTGTGATACTGCTGGCCACCGGCGCCATCTGTACATAGCACATATCAACATGTATAATACGTGAAAGTGTATAAAGACTACGGTATACGATGTGTATCGATCTGTGAGACTTAAGTGTACAGTATAAAATACTAATCTGAATTACTATAGGATACCATAGTTCTAAGTAGGTAGCTCCAAAATTACAGTTGATTACTTATCGTAATAACACTTAATGATACCTCAAGGTCCCAACAAAATCAGAGTTTATTTATAAAGTTTATTAAGTAGTTTATTCTAGTAATTTTACGTGATTTTTTATTTATGGTTTGTGCAAACCATACATGCATTTCGTTATGTTCAATATTCTTGTAAGATCGAGTAGTGTAGTGTAAAAATGTGTTGATATCTGACATATTTTCTGTAGAAGACTATACCCACTGTACATGGTCATGAATTATTATTGTAATACCCCAGTAAAATTATACATTTTAGAAGAGTATTTAATCAATATTTACAATAGATGGGATTTAAAAAAAAAGAACTGTCATTGAACTTTTATTCGAATAAATGATAACCTACCAGTAGCGTAGCTATCGTAAGGCCAGGTGGTGCAATGCACCAGGGCCCCGGAACTTGGGGGCCCTCTAACTTCAAGGTACAAGCGTAAAAGACAAGGCGCTTAGGATTAGGTAGACCTAGCTACGCTACTGAACAATTAAAGTTATGATGAACGTAATTAATTTTGTCAAAATACTGTTTTGCTTTTCTATAAAGGCTGTAAAATTCTAAGATGCAATATTTTATTGGGGGATTTAATTTAAATAGTCCATTTCATCAGCACAAAACTAATGTATTATTCTTATGATATTAATATTTAAAATAAATTTGTATAAATAATAGAATAAAGCATGCTATTGTGTATGTACAAAACGATACAAGTTGAAATGCCTGAAATTGATTTTATAAAATTGAAATATATTTTCCGAGTGGACACATGTATTTTCATTTTCATTCCTGAAATATTTCTAGAAGAAGCGTTTAGGCTATTGCAGTTTATATTTATAAAAAAAACTTTTATAAATTATGGTGAGAAATAACTACGAAAGCTTTCGGTTACAATGAAATCAGCTTAAAGTAAAACCTAATTTTGTACACACTCTTTTGGAACCAGAAAAATAAAAGAAATAAAGGATTACCGTAGACGTTTTTTATTGGACTTAAGACAACTATAAATACGAATAATGATTATTCATTGACGTAAAAACACAGCGACGTTCTATGTAGAGACACTATTTTTGGCAATCTAATAATTGTTAGGTCACAATACGTACAAATACCTCTAATAAGTATTTTAAGAAAAGAAATGTACTTTTACTGTCTGTAGTTTACATGAGTAGTACACATGTAAATAAAACACTTTAACGGTTTAAAACGCGATGTATATTAGTTTAGAGATATGTCTTCCCGTGATGACGGCTGCTGCATCCGAAACGTCGGGTCGATTAAACATAATATATATCTCGTTTTTAATCGTTAAAGTATTTTATTTAATAAAATGTATATTTTGAAGTTAAGAGGAATTAAAAGTAAATAGTGATACATACATTTCATATAACAGAGCTTATACAAACTTTTAAGAAAAGACGATAAAAAATTTCGACACTAACTTGAGGCAAATGGCGACACGGTTCGCTGTTAATATCCGAACAGTTATTAAATTAATTGAAAACGTACACATTCATTTGTTTATTTACAAACGCAATCCTCAGAGGGCGACGTAAAAAGTAAATTGAAACCACAAATAATGAGACGGGGGTGGGGAAAGGATCGCCGCGGGTGGGCACCAGCTCGTGCCGTAAAAAACCTCATCTGCGACACCCGCAAACTCCATTACACCTCGCCTCTCATCGGCCTAGCTTAATCTCCTTATTAATGACTCCCGACGGTGGTCTCCTCGACCTTTATTGACATCTATATTTTAGCCAAAACCAACATCTTTGTCACTCTCATTATAAAGTCAATTATTATCCGCGTTACGTTATTGATGTCTTATTAAAAGCGGGACGTGTAATTTGAGATCGAGCTGCTTCCCACGATAAACTAAAACTGTCGCACTGAGTATTGAGATAATAACGGGTAATAAGATTGAGCTTTGCAGCTTTCTGACGGTTCGAAGGCTTGAGTTAGTCTCGTTGATTAAGCAATTCGATAGAGGCTAAAAATACATGGCTATCACATATATTGAGTACTAGTTGTCCTTTTAAATAACTTTGACGGTTTAAAACGCGATATGTTAGTTAAACTTATTTGAAAATGATTTTTAACTTCGGCCCGACGTTTCGTATGCTTTGCAGCAGCCGTGGTCACGGGGAGACACCGCGGTGGCCTCCCCGTAATAAAGTGTTTTATTTAAATGTGTACTACTCGCGTAAACTATAGACAGTGTTTTACTAGTTGTCCTAGCAAGAGTTCTTTTACTATCGTATGTCATGAACTATTTCGAAGAAATTCGATTACCACAAAAACGGTACAATATAATATTTTGTTAGATTATATAAGCAAGAGTAATTCGTTTGCACATATTTATTAGGTATCTTAAACCGTTTTCTTCGAAGATAAGTAATTTTCCCTGTTTCCTGTTTCTTTGCTGCTATCAGTCACATTCTCATGTTTTATAGCCAAAAACCTTCGATAAATGCTCTAACCAACACAAAAATATTTTTTTCAATTGGACCTAGTAGTTTCTGACATTAGCGTTTAAACAAACAAACTCTTCAGCTTTATAATATCAGTATAGACGCTTAGGTCGACCACCTAGCTTACGAGTAGATACAACATTCAGAAACCTATAGACTAGAACATAATCTTGGATTTACAGTTATTTTCGTCCGTAGTTTGTGAATTTGTCAATTCTTGCCAAAAAGAAATCGTTAATATTTACACACGACACGACGTTTAATTATTAAATTAATTTAGAACTTACATTATACGAAATTGAATTAATTACTAAATCTTAATAAACCGCCATCATAATATGAGTTTATCCCTCAATAAAGTGGGTTTAGACGCTGCTAACCGTCTTAATCTGATTGCACAAACAGTTATTGAAACAGAGCCCTCGTAAAGAGAGATTTATCACCCCTGCAGTAACTAATGCTGTTTGATTCTTACTTAATTATAGAATTCAATGAGAGGGTTGATATTGATGTTGGAGCTTTTCACATCTAGTAATAATACTTACTCGTCGTGTAAAAATCGAGTTGATTACTTGGATATCAAAAATATATAATCTTATTACTATGGCTCGTTCGTGTGATGGTAGCAATGCTAATAAACGGGTCGCGGGTTCGATCCCCACCGAATTCAAAAGTTTTCAACTGAATTTACAATTTTCTGACACCCGTTGGTCTGGGTCACAAACCACCGTTGACAGATGAAAAAGCCGTCCGGTTTTATCGCTTCGGTGTCAGTCTATGGATATCCGAATATCCAAAGCGAATGATTGTCTGTTCTTCTATCATAGAAAAATACAAAAAAAGTTGATTATAAATAAAACCAAAAATACACGATTATTTGCATAAAACTTCCATCTCATTAAAGCATTATGAAGAATGAGGTGCCGTAAATTTTGACCCTCGTAAAGAGCAAAGAGTCGCCGACATCACACGTGGCGTTTGTTTCTGGGAATGGTGATCAACTGCAAAAAGAGGGCTCTGTTGCTAATTAATAGGACACTGATTTATCTTAAAACGAAGGAATAGTTACGGTCATTTAACTAAGATATTGGATACATGTAGAGGAATATTTAATAATTATATTATTGTATAATATTATTCCTGTTAACAGTTTTTTTTTCTATTTAATTCTTTATAATTGAGGCTTCGGATATTTGAAAATTCACAGACGGAACCAAAACGCGATTAAATTACCCGGCTAATGTTTCGTGACCCGGATAGAATTTTTGTGTTTCCTACCATTCATTTAGGATCTAGATTACAAACGAAGTTCGACATGTTTCAGAAAAATTATGAATTGAGTAGAAAGTTAGATATTCAGACCACGACTTGATATATTCAGACCACGATTACATTACACCGACGAGCTCGTAAAAAAAACTTTTACTGGATCTCCGACTTTTAAGTGGAACAAACAAACGTAGCCAAATTCTGCTTATATTAAAAATACATATATAACTCTGATAAGAAACTAAACCTGCTAACATTGTTGCAAGAACGGAAACACAAGCAGTTTACAACTTTTTAAGAGCGAAGTCCGCCCGCAGTAAATCACAAGTTGTAGACCCCCTTCAGAAGTAATATTGACTTCGGCGAACTCGCATTAATCTGCCGTTTCTCATACAAAGAAATCGTACGCCGAAACATGGACATTTTCAGCGATAAACTTAGTATAATTTAAAATACAATAGAGAGAGTTATAAAGAGATGACAGTCGTATTTATTTACTTTACGACAAAATAGAATAGCAATGGAATTGAAATACCCAATGTAATGAAAGTTTTCTAACAGAAAGAAGATGCGCCGTCGACCTTTTTTGATTTTGGACATTCGGTATGACAATTCAAACGGTCGAAGTCGAGTCTAGAATAATATCAGGTAATATAGTGCAATGTTTTTAATACATCATACAAAGATTCTCGACTATATCTTTTATAGAACCAAATATCATCGATATAAAATGACAAACTGACAAACCTGTCATCCAAAAAGATAAAGCAGAGGTAGTTATGACAAAAAATATTTATTTATTTACACACAAACATATCCACTACAGATAAAATTCAATACGACAGTAACGTACAGTACGATATAAAAACATTATTATACGAAAGTCATGTTGTTATATCTATACTAATATATAAAGCTGAAGAGTTTGTTTGTTTGAACGCGCTAATCTCAGCAACTACGGGTTCGAATTGAAATTTTTTTTTGTGTTGGTGAGAGCATCTATCGAGA